CCAAATTATCAGCCCGATTATCGTGTTTGATGTCATTGATATGATTAACATGGGCTTATTCTCTGGGTTAGGGATAAATGTTAAAATATGAACGGCGATAGTTTTATAAACATTATTAATTTTTTAACCCCGTTCGTATATAACCACTTCTTTTAGAGGGACTTCGCTTAAATATCATACCATTTTTGTTTTTGATGCGTCCGAGGTTGGAAACTAGACAGAGGTATGTTGATTATCTCGAACCTAAAGACCTGATGCAGGAACATTGGGATCACGAATGCAATAAACCAAAGACTGATTTCGGAAAAGCAAGGATTATACAAAGAGCTTGGAAAAATTACAAACAGAGGCCTGAATCATTAGCAACCCAAGCTTGGAACGCAATGAGAAATGATGGTATTTCTGATGATGAAAAATTTCTAGGTTTAACGAGACATAAAGTGAAAAATCCTCAGACTCGAGAACAATTTAACCAATGGTGTACTAAATGGATTGAATTATATAAAAACGATCCTATGATGCGCAGTTCCATTATTAATAGACAATATGAAGAATATTATATTCCAGTTAATTGGATAGATTCTAAAAAGAGTCAATTACGGATTAGATTCCGAAAGCGACTTTTAGAAATAGGAGCATAATACTTTAGACTTTATTTCGTTATCTTTCCTAAAGGAAAGCTGGTAACATTTTTTATGGCATAGCCATGAGTTTTTATCTCTACTTTAGTTTCTATATACGGTTATTTTATCCGACACAAAAACCCCTCTCGGTACGAATAGAATTTATTTATTTTTTAACATCTACTTCAACCTCAATCAGGCTGGATACTGATAACTATTTCATTGGAGAATAGTAGCGAATAAGATGTTAAAACCATCCACCCCAATTTCAATCACGGCTGGATACGGACAGCTTCTTAATAGAAGTGGCGAGTAGGATGTATGTATATTAATGTATTAATAAATAACGAGAAAAAAAAATGCCTGTTTACCCAATGGATATGTCTCGTTTTATTCATCTAATTTCAGAGGAGTGTCCCAACTGAGTCTAACTGCTAGAGGATCGTCTACTGCCTTAGTAAAATCAAAAACCACGAATTCACGATCCCGCAAATGCTTATCAATAATCTTGGATGCCTTTTTTGGATCATCTGTATATTGACGTACGATTCTACTAATATCGTCTCTACTACCCGAGCCACGGAATAGGCATAAATGTGAGATATTTTCACGAATAATTTTAGGTGTTTGTGTGTATTTCTGGCTTACATATATAGGTGAGACATTTTGATGCCGGCCACTAATGAAGTAAGGAATAATTCGTTCTTGCACTTTTTTGGGTTCGGCACATAGATCCTCAAAAACAATAACCGTACTTCGTTCCGGAGAGAATTTAGTTATATCTGGGATCTTATCTGGTAATATCCATTTAAATGTAACATCTTCTCGATATGGTTTTGGAGCATTTGCAAAGATCTGATAGCTATTTTGTACAAGTTGCCATTTTGGTTCAAAATGTTTGGCTACTAATCTGAGATCATCATTTCTAATATACCGATCACCTTTTTTTCCATTGAACATACATTGTAGTTTGTTACCGAGCATGAGATTTATTTTCATATTAGTTTTTCCACTATTTGAGCTTCCATTTATAAGCATCCTAAATGGGCAGTCTGGTGAATATTTATTACCCTTCATTTGTTCTAATGATTTTTTAGATGTCTCATTGATATTATATACATATATGGGCATGCCTTTATCTTTCATACTAGCCAAGATAAGTAATATTTATTCTTTATATGATAAATAACCTTTCTTTTGTGATTTGCGTTTTATATATGGAAATAAATCAGCATCATACGGTATTGAAATAAGATCTATATCTTGCTCCTTGCATATAACTCGCTTTTTTTGATCACACATCTGTTGACTATCTAAGTTTATCTTGCCTTGCTTATAGAACATTGGATTCTCAGAAAAATGTTGAGGCCCCTGGAATTTGTATGCCAATTTTAACTTTTCATTATACCCATCTAATTGCATCCCATTCAAAAATGATGGTTTACAAGATGGAAATTTTTTACTTAGCAGATTTTTGAAAATATATCGAGCGGATCTCTCACCTTTAAAATGTGGACAAAGTGGGCATCATTCGAATTTCCACTTCTGGATTTTATAAGGTGCATACCATTGATGGGATTTACATATCCAAAGATATATATTGTAACTATTTATTTGATTAATTTTATCAAGATATTCTCTACCGCGCTTCTCAGCATAAGCTTGTGCCTTAATTATTTTATTAATAATATGGATAAAATTAACAGACCTGGAACGAGTGTTTTCTTCCAATATACTCTGGAGCGGATACTGAAGTTTTTTTAGATCTACTAGTAAGAGCTCTTCTTGCACAAATCCATACTTTGGAGGATATTCATCGTTATCGCTTTCAAGATAATATAAAACTGGTTCATTTTTTATTATCACGATTTTATGGATTTTATGTAAAGAAGGGCTCCAAATTTCATCTGTTGCATGCCTTTGATTTTCCATACCCTTTTCTATTCTGCATTAGCAAGTAAGTAACGAATGGTATCTCCCTTTTTTAATTTTTCTTTGTCTTTACCAACTGAACGTTTGTATTTTGTAGATGGTTTAGACTCCACCTTATTCAATCTAATTGCCTTCACAGGTACTAATTCCCATTTCTTTGATCCTGGCACTTGTATAAGTCATGTTGAATAATTATTCAGATATTCAAGAACTTTTGATAAATACTTAACCCATGCCCTTATTAATTTAGGATTTCTGAATATAGTTTCAACAGCTGATTGAACTTTGTACAGCATCTCTACTAATGTCTTACAAAACCTGTCTACAATTGCAAGATCTTGATGAGAATATGAACCTATAATTCGGATTTTAATATTATGTGCTTCCATTATTTTTGAAATTTCACCTATAAATTTTCTACTGCCATCACATTGTAATAAATCAGGCCAGGTAAGAAAAATGTTCGAATTATCATAGATTTTCTTAAATGCCTTGGCTACCTCTGAACTGTTTTTTGTAGTTAGAGGAATAACATATTTAAATCTACTAGCAACGTCTATAACAGTAAGTGCCCATTTATATGTCTTTTTATTAATAGTATCATTTGTAAGGCGCAACAAATCACACATGTGTATACAGTTTGGATATGAAATTTTTCCATAACTTACTTGTGAAGTATTTTTTGATGATGAAGCATACTTTTGCCATTCATTCTGGTTATGCAACTATTCATGAACTTTCTTATATGAGAAATTATATTCTTCTTTTTTACATGCATCTCTTAAAGTTTTTGTATTGGAATGATAACCAGTAGGCTTATAATAAAGCATGTTCAGGATAATTTGCAATTTCTTATCTGGATCGATTCTAATAATAGGCTTACTTAATTTATGCGAAGCATGGTTTAAGGACCTACTCATTTTCGATATATTTTACTATAGCAATAAACTATGTTTTAGAAAGTCAAGAGATAAGTCAATATAATATGCTATAAAAAATAAAAACAGAGTCTCATTACTTTGTAATAATCATGGCATTTCATAAACCCCAATCCCCCAATCGAACAACTCATAGATCAGCTATAGATAAAGAACTTGAGCTAGAACAAATTAACCAAGAACTTCAAGAGATATTGCAATCAGAGGTAGCTATTAACAAATCGAACGAGAAATATATAAAAGATCTGGAATGTAAATATATCCAGTGTGAGAATGAAATTCAATTTCTCAATAAAGAATTGGAATAGCTTGAGAATGCTTCAGAGAAAGAAAAGGCGAAGTTGAGATCAAAAATATCATTCCTTAAAAAAAACTTATATCAAGCTAAAAAGGAAATCTGAGACAAGATATCTTATATCAATAATATAGAGAAACAATTATAAGAATTGGAAAAGCAGATTCAAAATTTAAGGCATAGATTCAAAGTTATTTTTCTTGAAAAAGTTTTCCAAGTTTATATAATTCAGAAGAGGAAGATATAAATATGGCGAATCTTGACCTTTTTATATAAATTGATCGAGGCTTAAATCGCATTGAGAATCATATTAGAGGAGCTGGAACACTATTAAATAATTCTATTAATATTATAAATGGTATTAGAGGTTTCTTGAATGATATCTGTCTTAATTACCAAAATGCATTCCAGGATATAGATGGTGTTATAGCTCAATGAGATGACAGAGATAATCAGATAGTCCAGTTACAACAAGATATCAATTTCTATAGACAACAGAATATTGTTTTGCAAAATCAAGTTAATCAGCTTACCCAAAATAATTTTCAGGACCAAGTCAATCAGATTATCTAAAAATGAGATAACTTACAGAACCAAGTTAATCAAATTATTCAAGAGCAACATAACTTATGAAATCAAGTTAACCGACTTACTCAAGAGCGTGACAATTATCAGAATGATCCTACTTTGATGACTATAGCTTATAATAATGAACAGGGAGAAGATATTAGATCTTACAAAGATTACAAAACAAGAAACAGACACCGTCACTGGTGATTCTCATATCGTGATAAAAATAGATGTGTTGGTGAATTAATTCAAGAAAAGTTTGCTATCCAATTATTATTGCAGCGATGTCATACCAATAATAGGAATTTACAACAAAGGTATGATATATGAGAGCATTTGTAGTATAATATTACCTTAGCATTAGAAGAACGATCTAAACTTAGGCATGTTTTTGAAGTTCTATATAGATTAAAAAACTATCGATTAGAACAAGAATTGCGAAGATGTCAGGCCAATAAAGGATTATTAGAATATAATCGAGATTGGCTTTTTGATAGATATTATAATAAATTCAAAGATCGGAAGGCAAGTCATATCAAGTGGAAAAATAGAGAGTGTAATTCACAGCAATTAATTTTAAATTTACAAGTTCAAATTTTATTACTACAGAATAATCAACCTATAAATAATCAATATAGAAGAATGGCAGGATATGTACCAACTCTATTTTATGGAAAAGCTGGAGAAGATCCTGAAGAATGGATTAGAGATTTTAGGCAATATTGTGAAGCATCCAGACTATACATGTTGCTGAAATTTGTAGATCCTTGACGCAATTGACGCAATTATTTGACGCAATTAATTGAGTCACTATTAAAACATATAAATAATTGAGTCATGACGCAATTATTTTTGAGGATTTTGGGAATTGAGTCAACAGCAAATAATTTATACCGCATGTATAATCCAGACTTGATCCACTTGCAGATGCTTGAACCAGAGTAAGGATTCATGGACTTTTTGAGACTTGTTTGAAAGACGATGCAAAAGATTAGTATAAAACTAATCTCAAGAATAAAAATTGGGAATTGCAAAATATTAGTGATAATATCAACTTGGCCAATCTTGGAGCTATTAAAGGATTAGCTAATAATAATGCATTGTGTAATATCAATGCTAATCAGTTTAGAGATGGAGCTCTTCAAATAAAAAATACAGTTCCAGCTGACAACTATGCAATTGCTATACCATTGGTGCCAGCACATATTGTTTTCAATGAAGATTGGTCAATAGCTGGTGAACAACCAACAGATTTAGCTCCCAATGCCCCCAATGCTAATGCAATAGGTAATACCATTGCTCCTGGTATTCGTATTGAGCAAGTAATATACTGGCTCAAAACAAATTATTCAATGATTACCACTAAAAAATCAAAAGTTGTATTTAATAATATTACTCAAGAAACTGATCCTATAGGCCGATTCTATGCACAATTAAAAAGAATGATTGTACTTGCTTATCTGGCACTTCCAGCATTAAATCAGGAAGAAATGATTAGACAACAATTCTTTCAAGGTCTTTCCCTGAACAACAAATTAGAAATAAGATGTATTGGTCTTGAAAATCCAATTTCCACTTTATTACCAAAATTAAAACAAATTGAAAGACAAAAAGCTGAATTGATATTAGGGCAGTACGATCCCAATTTTCATCCAGTCACTTCTTGTTTACGATTTACAACTAATACAAAAGATCCTTATATAACAAATAATACAGGTATAACCAAAGAAAAAATCAAAAATCTGGTGAAAGGTATTATGGCATCTTCACAATCTCAACCTGGTTCTTTGCAGACAACTTTCCAATTGCAAAATAGGCAGTTGGTATAGCCTAGTCAAATGGATCCAGGTAAATCTTATAGAGATCCAAGCCTATGCTTGAATAACCAAGAATGGATTCGAATGGATGAAACAACAGATCATCTTAGTTCTTTAGCAGGTTTATCTACTTTACAATCATTAATAGATACAATCACTAAAGGAGTAGTTGATAAATTTTCTTTCTTCTTGCCTAAGAAAAATGAAGGGAATGCATCAAAAAAAGTTGAAGTCGACTCAAATGAAGAACTGGCTAATTATATAAGTAAGTTGTCAATAAATAAGGCTATATCTAGACAGATCAAGAAGGAGATTAAGAAAACATTCCAATGCAGATGCTCAAATTGCAATAGGATAGGACATAATTCTTGCAACTGTCCTCGAAAAAAGAAAAACAGATCCAAGAAAAAAGGTAAGATTAATATAGCTACTAAAGATGATGCAAAGCATTAAGGAAGCAAAGTTCTGAGTTTCCAACTCATATCTGATTCTTTAGATTCTGAATCTGATACTAGCTCTTTTGACAATTGTTCCAATTCTGGCTCTGACTCTGAGTCCGATTCTGAATCTGATTCTGAGAATAACTTAACTGAAACTAAAATCGCAAAAATTATCAATGCCATTAAATCAAAAAAAAAGTAAAGTGGAAGGGAAAATCAAATAAATTATTATCTAAAAAGTCTAGTTCAAAAAAACGTTCTTCACAAAAAATACAAAAGAAATCAGGTACAATTATCAACTCACAAATTCGAAAAATTATTCTAGCTATATTTAACGATCCAGAGGTTGTAGAAATAATTAAAAACAATATTAATAATATGAATTTATCTATGACTCAAAGAGTCGCTATGGTACCACTTCCTAAAGGGCCTGCAAAACCTGACTTTATAAATTATCGAGAGCCGGCCCCAGAAATACCCAAATCAGATGACGGAGAGGAGACGCTGGATGATCCTATGGAGATAGATTTTGTTCAAAGAAAAGAACCTATCACAAGCCTTGCAACTATACCAGTTAAAATCAAATGCTTAAAAATTCCAGCATTGATGCTAGATAGTGGAGCCAAATCTCCAATTATATCTGAAGACATTGTTAAACGTGTAAATTGGCCAATTGATAAATCAGAAAAATATAATCTTAGTAGGGTTGCTACAGTCCCAACAGAATCTATTGGTATTGCTCGTAATTTTTCAATAACATTCCTTTCAGGTTTTACTATACGTAAAGATTTTGTAGTTGTACGTGTTCCTAAACCAACATTGATATTTCCAAATCCACTTCTCAAGAAATATAAATATACTATAGATTGGAGGAAAGATGAATTGAAAATTTCTTTTAATGGGAAGAATCACATTATTCCAGTAACTATGCACAAAGTCAAGAATAAACTTGAAGTAAATTGTACTACTAAATCTCAGAATGATAAGCCTTTGATATCCGATCAAATTTCTCAAGAGACAGATAATGATAAGGATGACAGTATATTATTCGAAAGGTGGTGTACTCCTGCGGGTTTTAGCCCGGATTCTAATAATTCATTATTAAAAAAAAACACATAAGTTATGAGGAGTTAGAAAAATCGTTATATACTACTCTCCAGTCTAAGATTGAAATAAATGATCTTTGTGAAAAGTTGCAAATGCATTATAAAAAGCTACTCGAACATATCTCTTCCAGAGATTATAACAAAAGATAGATCTAAGTAGTAGCTAATAGGTGAGTCATCTTCACTTTATTTCTCTCATCTCTTCTGGCTTCTTTTTTATACAATGCATCCAGATCCTCGCTACTTATTTTTTTTGTAGACTCGAAGAGTCATTGCTTTGCAATAGAGTCATTAGTATTAACCGGTATTGAGTTACTGCTAGGTATTGAATCAGATATGCGAATAGATTTAGACTGAGATTTGAAATTTCTCTTTTTCGTTTCTGTATTGAGGGGAGTAATAGATTCTGGATATAAAGTCTCTCTTCCAATTTGATTAAAATTTTCAGATGAAATTAATGAGCCTAATGTGGAAATAGTACTTTGTACTATTTGTTGCTGGCATTCTTGATCTTTCTATATATCATCTACTCAATGTTCATTAATATGGAATTCTCTTATAATTCTATACTTAGGTACCTTATCTTTGAACAATCTAATTATTTCTATCTGCTCAGAAGTTAAATATGTAGATTTTTGGTGATAATATGATTTTAGAAATGGAATGTTCATAGTTGATTTTTACCGAATATTTAAAATGATATTTAATATTTTAGAATAATAAAAAATGATATCTATCATTATAGAACAATAAAAAATAATAGAGATTATTATAAATTAATAGAGATTATTAGTATAAGCATGTTTTTGATAAATAAAACTACTAGAAATCAAAATATAGATAAAAATAATGACTATATAATCTAATTCAACAATATTTAATATATTTTTTTAATAGATTAGGATATCTAACATTAAATATTATTAGATAATAATAAAAATTATTACCAAAACTAGTTTTATTAACAATTGTATATTATCTATTATTTAGTGGAGCAAGCTAATATGACTAATATACAGTATATATATTTCAAAATATTAAAGGCCATCGACTTGGTAGTATATGCGAAGAAGAGCTGGAAAAAAAAATATACGATGCTATCAAATCCAAAGCTGAAATTAATAAGCTTAGTGAGAAATTGCAGGATAAATATATAAAGCAAATGAAAGTATTTGATCGAAAAAAAAAGAGGTGAAATTGAAATTCGTTACAAAATAATACTGAGATCCAAAAGTTATACTTTCATGCTTTACAGGTTATTAATGAGCATAAGCAACTAGAAAATGAAAATATCAATCTTATTTCTCATAATGCACAAAAGAATATTTTTATTGCTAAATTCAAGGCTGGGAATATTACAAAATCCAAAAAAATTAAATCACTCGAATCTATAATCAAGATATTGGAAAGTAAGTTGTTTTTAGCCCAGAAAGATGTGATTTCGATTCAAGAGGACTCATTGGAAAAAGAAACTAATATTTTATCTCTCAAATCAAAAATAGTGGAATTAGAAAGTATAAAGGGTAATTTAGAATCGAAGGTGAATAAGCTTAAATACCTGAAATCGAAGGCTATATCAAAGCCTGTTGTTGGTGGAGATGTCAAAAAAAATATAATCAAGAATGGTGATCTAAGTAAATATTTTATATGTGGAGGTTCGAAGAACCATTGCTCTGCAATAAAAAATATGGATCAAATTGAAAAAACTGATGGTAATATATTGACATATACTAATTATGAAATTACCGAACTATCAAAAAATGATAACGAGATTAGTTCTAAGATAAGTGAGAGAACTAGTATTAGCAAAATTAGTGAAGATATTATATCCCAATCTCAAGAAATAAAAAATGTAAACCCACACCTTACACAGCTAGAAAATTATATCTCCTCTTTGATTGAATCGAATTCTCAGATGAGGCTTGGTCCTGAGGCTTTGCCTCTTCCTGCTGTGGCAAGTACTTTGATGTCATCACTATCAGTATATATTTTTCTTATTATATTAATTATTGCGGTGATGTGGTTTGTAAGACGTACATGGAATATAGGTAAAAAGAGCAATCGATTACAGGATGCATGGGTTAGGTATTAGGAACTATCTATTTAAACTTCGATATTATTTATGTACAAAAAAATATTATTAATAATATATATGTATCTAGTAGATTGTGGCAATCTTAGCTAAGAATACTTAACAATATAATAGCACAGCTAATCAATTCAAGACTTTAACATATTTTGTAAGCCATTTTTTAGCTTCTCTTTGGGAATATGCGTCAATCTGCTTTTCTTTCTCATCTGAATCTTTGAGTTGCATAATTTTATATGAAGATGATGGTTGATATTTCTCGTCTTCATTAATAAATCGTACACATAATTCCAAAATACTTTCTATATAGTAGTTGATATTTATTTTCATGTTCTGTTCTTTTGCAAACTTTGGATATTCCATATAATCACCAAGTCTATATGGTATTAATTGATCTTTTTTATCACGATAACATTCACCTTTTACTATTACATAACTGAAGTGCTTACCAGAATTTGGGATATTCAATTTTTTTTCTTTCATTCGAGTTATAAAACGCTGGACATGAAGATTTTTTTTCTTAGGCTTCCATGTAGCCGTTCCAATAAATTGACTAAAGTCCCATTGCTTATCTTTGGCCTTCCTAAGAGTATCTTCAACAATTTTATGAATTGATTATATATTATTTATATCTATAGCTTTCCACATGATTTTTTCCTGATAAATTTGAAAAGCTGGGGCTGGCCTTGCTTTATATTATCAATCTCTTTTTTAAAGAAATTATCTGGTTTGAAATTAACAACTCCTTCATGTGATACACTGAAGTATTTTTTCTTGCCAATAAAACAAACAGAAAATAATACCTCTTCATATACCATTTTAAGATAAGATGTGCTATTTTTTATTTTCAGATAAGCATTTACTTTATCACACAACTTTTTCATCACATTTATAGTAATTTTAATTATTTTAGGCCAATATTCCTTCTTGGAAAGGTTTTCTTCATTAAAAGCTCTATCGTATTTTTCATAATATTTATCTGGACAGGTAAGATATAAAGAATTGGTATCTTCATATTTTATTCTGAAACCTTTCCCAGACACAAACTTAGCAACAAGATCAATATTATACTGACCTGCAGAAGTGATTCCTTCAGCTAATTTACAAAGAAAAAATGGAGATTTGTTGTTTCCTGCTTCTCTGTAAAAAGTATTCATATATATCTTTAAAGCAAACTGTTTGGAATTTAAACAATTATAATCAAAACATATGGATAAATATTCTGAATTTAAGCTTTCTGGGGTTTTTTTACCTTTCTCTTTAACTGAACTTATTATTTTCCCAAGATGTTCCTTTTTCTTTCCTAATGAGGCAAGCTGTGCTTTAAGATTTACTCTCTTGTTGAATAAATTCTCTAATACAATAGGATATAAACTCTTCTTCACGAATTGATTATCATGTCTTACACATCAAGCATGAACAATATGGTTATTAAATAGAAACTCAATCTTATGCAAGTTATTTCTATTTTTTTGTACAATATCGGCCTCTCTATATATTAATATCATTTTTTCTGAAGAAAGGTTGTAAGCCATAATAAGACTAGAATATAAAGATGCAAAATCCAATCCTGTAACAGGCCGTTTTGTCTCAATTCCTTTTTTAGGTGAAAATACGTATGCATCAAGATACTTATCTTTTTCTATATTTTTATACAATCTTATACTAAATAGTATATTATGTTTAGTGGCATAAGCCCCCAGAAGATTTCGTACCTTCATTCCATTTGTCTGATAATGTGAATCAAACAAAGATACATAGGCTATAGAAGCAACCTCTCTATAATCATTAATTACATTCCACTTAACCATAAGCTCCTAACAACGCAATGCATCTACAATACAATAATATGCTACTTTACGCATGTTTTCTATAATAGAATGCGATTTATTTGAGAAAATACTCTCTTTTGCTTCTGAGTAAATTTTTCACATTTTATTATATAACATATCTGTTTTACTCCCAATTCACATATTTTTAAGTAAAATACAAGTGAACTTTTCCTATCAACCTCTGCACGAGAGTAAAGTTTCTTAAAACATGCATGTATGTCAATTGGTACACATTCTGATACTTTAAGAAAAATAGAAATATAATTATCCTCTGGACTAATCTTGATTATAACTGGCTGTACCCTATCATTTTCTTCCTCACTATTATCAATAGTGCCTTTTTTAATTTGAAAACTATTTTTAGATTTCACTCCTATGTTCCCGTAATAATTCCATTTTAGAATTTCTTCCTTCGATTTAAATCTTCCCATTATCTGTTGCCACACCCATTTAAGAATATTAAGTCTATGAGCTCTTTCCATAATAAATGGCCAATCATATTCGGAATTGCTAAATCCAATTTGAATATCAGGGATGAAGACTTTCTAGTATAATACGAATGCTTTTAGTAAATTTGTCTGGTTTCCACATACAACTGTTATCCATCGTGGGTCTGGTGCAGTTTCAAGATCAACAAGACAGATTTGTTTTAACGGTCTTGGATTGTCTTTCTAGTGCAAGGTCATACAAATTATAAATACGATACTTTCTTCATCATGTATTTCAGCAAATTCACCCAACTCTCATAATTGTGTTTCTATATCCCATGTAAGGATAAGCGTATGATCTCTCATAAGTGCTGAAATCGGAAAACAGTTACTTATTATTTTTAGATCTTCTACTGATTAAAAATTATTTATAAAAACTTGAAAATCGTATGTATAATGAGAATGTTTTTTGTATCTATACTTACTTATCATAAACCAACCGAAATTGCGATTATATTTTTTCTAGTTATTTTATAGTGAAATGAGAACATATTATCTAAGACAGTTTCAAAATTTTTATCTTGGATAGCTTGGAGAGCTTTCTTCCCATCCCTATTACCGAGTATAAAAATTCGTAAATATGGCTTTTTTTCTATATGGTAACCACGCAAGGGAAAGGCCTTAATATATTCTATTTTATAGGTATTTATAATACTAGAGAGAATTGCGTCTATTTTTATTTTAAACTTGTCTATAATTTCTTTATCAGGTACAAGTATATCAAAGAAAATCTGGATCCCTGTAAGGATAACTACTGCTTTTTGATCATTAATGAGAAAGCCATAAAGACGTAAAACATAATAATTTTTTTCACCTTTTTTTCCAATGAACCTTTAAAATTGACAGCCATGAAAGGGATTTCCTCTCATTTAGCTAAAGCATTATTGAGAATCACAGACAAACTCTTATTATTTTCTGCAACTATATTGTTGCGAGTTGGGACTCCTAAATAATTACTACCAAAATAGTGGAATAAGTATTTAAGTAATTGTTCTACCTTTTTGTTTTCCTCAATCACAGATTTCGGAAAAGCTTTGGCCTTCCAGCAGTAGAACGCCTGCTATTTTCTTCTGACTTGGATTCGAATTTTGGCTCGAAATTCTTCGAGTTTTCTGGGTTATCTGGTCAAGGTGGTACTTCTACTTCTGCTGACACGTAATCGATAGTTTCCTGGAAATTTTGAATATTTTGGATAGTCATATTACGTTATTATTTGAAACTATAATAACGGTTAGAGAAAAGTTCAAAATAAAAATTAATTATTTTAGATAATTAGTATTAGACAATATACTACTTAAAAAACATATTAACAAAACTTTAGATATGGGATTTTACCATTGTCCTTATATCCTTAGAAGTAGAAAAGTATATAATCGAGATTGCTATTGACCTGAGGGGTGTACAATTCACTGGGATTCTCCTACTTGCATACCATGTAAAGAATATGATTGTATTAAGTTAACATCTTCAAAATATGAAGCATGTAGAGCTCATGCTGGTAAGTATTGTTCTCAGGACTACTATTTTCGAGAGAAGCTGAAAAAACATGGCACAAAATAGTGTTACACACTTCATGCCTGCTCCGCAGTAAAAAATACATAGTAAGTATACATGTGATATCTTAGTATGATCAAGTGTCTTTGAAAATTTTTAGTAACAGATATTTTTCAGAGACAAGAACTCTATCAAATTTCGTGTTTTTTATCTTTTAGAAAACTTTCTAGATGTTTGTCACTGAAAACTCTAAAAACTTTAAAAAAAACAGATTTTTTTACTTTTTTTTTACTTTTTTATATATGGGTATATCACATATGTATATATATATCAAAGGTATATCATAGGAAAAGTTTTATTTTTTTTCTTAGAATTTTACTTTATTTTTAGTAACTTTCAGTGACAGTATAGAAAAACAAGATAAAAAAGAATTTAAAACAGAAATTTAATAATAAACTCGTCACCAAAGTTGTCTCTAAAGTTGTTACTGAAAAATTCTTAGAAACAAAAATATCAATACATTTCACTATATATCCTGATATTGAAGACATGAAAAAAATTAGTATACTTCGATATAACGTGTCATTAACATAGGTGAAATCGATATATTTCTACACTATGTTTTCAAAACATATTTCTAATGCTAACTTGTGACAAAAATTCTGGCAATCGAAATCGGCATATGTTTAGCATACTCGATAGCAATTACGTGATAACATAATCAGATAGCATGTATATAACATAGTCTGATATCATATACATAATAGTACTATTGATAGCATTTTTTTGTGATATACTAGCATACATATTTGATAGCATTCCCCGATAGCATAACCAGATATTGTATATATAGTATGATCATATTATGTATATAGCATACCCAATATCAATTTAGATAATATTAATTGATAGCAATTATTTAATGTAAATTTGATAGCATTCCCCAATAGTATTTATAATGTGTGTATCAATAGCAATTGTACATACACGTTTGATAGCATACCCAATAGTAGGAATATAGCATAGGTAGGTAACATTGGGCCAGTAAATAATGATACATAATTGAATACATCGTTGGTATATATTTTTTTTTGGTTTTTAAAGATAATAAAGAAAGATCGCGTGTGGAGTGTTATAACCTAAATCGGAGATTTTTATTTATTGAAAATTGATTGAAAACATTAAGCTGATATATAAAAATTTATATAAGTGATTAAAACATTATCGTTATTGAATTTGACTTTCTAAAAGATATGTAATAGGACTTGAGTTTTGCAATCTACATGTCACACTTAGGGACATATTATTGGTCAAGTGACTTGAATTTTATGATCTACCCATCACTCAAATGACTTGAGTTTTATGATTAACCCATCACTCGAATGACTTGAATTTCACGATCTACATGTCATATTGGATATGGTTATAGTCCGAAATAAGTGATATAATATCTTTTGTAAAATTTCTTATAATTCAAATAAAAATTCATGTTAATGGGCTAAAATAAAATAATTTTTTAATAAATTTATTTCATTTAATATAGAATTTTAAATTAATAATATTCTTATAAATATTTAATTGATATTTTTTTAAATTACAAATATAATATATAAATTTGACAAAATATATATATATATATATAACAAAAATTTGACAAATTAAATATATAACAAATTTTGAAAAACAAAAATTCAACAAAAAATATGTAAAAATTTAGTAAAATAATAAAATTGTTAATTTTACTGAATGATATATTATGATATATTAAATTATTTATAAAACTTATATGCTAATTTATAACCAAAGTTTATATTAATTAATTTGTCAAATAAATTATTTTTAACTAGTAATTTCAATTTATCAAATAACTTATTAGTAAGATTAAACAATGTTACACATACAAAAAAATAGTTTACAAATAGCTTTGTATTCTCAAAGTAATATAACTCTAATAAAGTAAGCTTTGATAGTGTTGATTAAAAAATAAAAAAAAAGTTAGAAAAAGGATTTTATTAAGAATTCTATATATTTGGAGCTAATCTTAATCATGTATCTAGAGAAAAAGCATAGTAAATGCATTTAGAAAAGGTTCTCCGTATTTTATTTTATGATAATCCATGAATAAGAAGTTGTTTATTCACAAAATTCTGATTCCACTTTAGCAAATTGTTGATATCTTTAACCCAGTCCACACCTTCTTCAACTCTGTTTACACAAGGCATCGGATACGAAGATGCCTGTACCTAATAAATATTGTGCATTTTTTTTGGAGATAAAATTAATTAATGGGTAATTGAATATGGAAAGATGTATATTTAAAAAGATGTTTATCCGAACCTCCAAAAAGTCTCCTTTATTCAACATACAAATTTCTCTTCCGTCAACTGTAATTTCCGTTGGCGATCTACATACTTTACTAATCTAATTTGATTTGCAAGGGGATTTATGTTATAATGTGAATAGTGCGCGAGATAATTAATCATCAGATTACCTTCAATTGTATTTTTGCTGTTTGCGGAATTAAAACTGGTCGGAACGACAATGATCGTGGACAGATCGGTGTGAGGAGAAAGCCTTGAACCGAAGGATGAATTATTGGGCCACCTGAATATTGCGAATGACAAATTTACAATAGTAACTAATATAGCTCTTATCAACGAATATATTGATAGTCAATACACGAAATGGATACATGCCCGCTGATAATGAATATGCCGTTGACCCAGTAGGAGTAGCCACAATCAAACCATCCGCCTTTACATAAAACAGTGTATCAAACAATTCGATTGTTTCAGAATCCAAGTAATATAAGAAATACATAAGCAAATACCACGGCTTCTGTCAAAAATTGCTCATTCACATAACAACTAATGGCCGCCAAATGTGGATATCGTCCTCTGTGAAGGTTAACTTCGTTCATGGCCTGCAAATCCCCTAATATTTACATACAAATATCCATTATGTCGGAATAAATTAAAGTGTCGAGTTAACTTATTACCAATTTCTTGACCATCTTTCACAACCCGTTTTTTCTCTGCCGTCCACAATGCACATGTCAATCTCATACGAAGCAACAGTGATATTCCTCCCTTGATCAAATCAGAGATCGCCTGTCGATAATGTTGTATATCTTTCTCGCAATAAATTGATATTTTAATTAAGGAATAAATTATTTTAATCATCTTTGCTGACATAACTTCTTTTCATGAAGATAAATTAAGATATGGATACGAAACGGTAACAAAAATCCCAAAGTTCCCATTGAGAAAGAAATAACTGGTGGAACGGCTTCTTCGAATAGCGATGAAACATGCAAGATCGTCCCATCACCACCAAGTGTAATTACAAAGTCAACTACACGCGTATACTCATATTTATTCTCTAAATTCGCAAAATCATAATGTCGGCTTAAGTCGACCAGATAAATAAATGAACGAGTAACAATGTTCCTAACGAATGCATACCTGGAGGTGCCACATGTACAAATGGGAATTCATTTCTGAATTCCTCCGCAACATCACTCTCAACGATAATATTTAAATCTGGGTGTGCATCGTGAAACCATCTAAATCACATCCCATTAACCTCGACATTCGATGAGTATAAATAATAAAAATTTAAAATTATTACTTCACTAGTTCGGTGAATGCTTTGCTCGTGGGTTCGCTCGATGGCTTCTTAACAATCAATACCGATCGAGGAGGATCAACCCATTCTAGCTTTAGGTTTCCCCTTGAAAAATAAAAAATCAGTATAGCACGTGATCACGCGTGGTAGGAATGGTAAGCGGATTGGATACAAACTCATCTTTAGACCAAAAAATCTGGTTGATTTCTGTAGTCGGTGTTCCAAGAATAGGCTGAATTTCACGTGTAACATTTTTCTCTACAAATAAATAATTAGCATGAACAAAATTGTTTATAGGAAACATAAATAATAACATAACTTACCCCGCTCCATTTTACTTAATACGAATTGTACTTTGTTTGGCAATTTTGTGGTGCTGGAATACTTTCGCAAATGAGGTAAGGCATCATGTTTGCGAGTAATACTTTGAAAAACGTTTCTTTTCGATATCTTAGAGGCATAAAAGAAGCGAACTATCATAATTTTGAAAACTTAAAATTGTTGCATGATGATCTACCAATTGAATTTACCCAAATTTAGGTTAACTCGATTCTCACAGTATATAGATGATCGCGTTTCCAACATTAGACGTATTTCACTTTAGCACAAATTATTCCGATGGCCGATCCAGTTGTTTTGAAGACTTTCTTCGACAAAGTTGATAACCTTCAAGATCATTATGTCGAGAGGTTGAGAGAAGCCGTGGCTATTAAAAGGTAGCATATGGTTCTTTCACATTCAAGAGTCGAGTAAAAGACTATGTTAATTATTAAATGTGTTCGATAGTGTAATTCACCATTTCTTCACGTTTACATGTTGGATTTAGTGTAAGTGCAGACGCTGCTTTCCGTGACGAGGTATTTAAAATGGGCCAGTGGCTAGTCGAGTTGTTCCAAAAATTGGGTGTTAGGTGAAAGAATTCGTTTTATTCAAACGTTTTTTATAAATCGGCCTTGCAAAATTTTTATATTTTCATGCGTCTCGTAAATTTAGTCACGAATCAGTTGACATAGGAACTCAAGTTTTGGATGGAAAGACTATAAAATTGCCACCCATCATTCTCGGAACTTATGGTAATGATCCAAATAAAAAAACCATCTTGATTTACGGCCATTACGATGTTCAGCCTGTAAGATCACAGTCTCTATTACTGCATTCTTCGCGAATCAGCACTATTATTACCTTGTTCACTATGATCTCTCCCTTCTAACTTAAAGGCCCTGTTAGAGGATGGGTGGAATTCAAGCCCATTCGATTTGACTGAGACTCCGAAACATCAGTTGATCGGGCGAGGTTCCAGTGACGACAAAGGACCCGTCATTGGATGGCTTAATGCTATTGAAGCTCATCAAAAAGCTGGTATAGAGCTTCCCGTAAATTTGAAATTTTGCTTCGAAGGTATAGAAACCTATGATATGATTTTATCGATTGCGTTGGAAATCAGTATTCTGAATGCCGTTCTGTCTCATAGGAATGGAAGAATCCGGTTCGGAGGGAATGGATGAAGTGATCCTCAAAGAATCAAAGCGCTATTTCGTAGGTGTAGACGCGGTTTGCATTTCGGATAATTATTGGTTAGGTGTTACTAAGCCATGTTTGACGTATGGTTTACGTGTGAGTTTATTATATTTTTATTGTATTAGAACGTGTATTTGCATCTGAGAAACTTTTATAAATACATAAGTAAACCCATTTCAAACAGGGGATTTCTTATTTCAAAATCACTGTTTCCGGACCTGGGAGAGATCTTCACTCTGGTGTTTTCGGAGGAACCGTTCACGAGCCCATGACAGATCTTATCCTGTTGTTTAGTAAATTGGTGTCCCCTAGTGGTGAAATATTGATCCCCGGGATTAATGATGATGTGGAGCCCTTAACTGGTATTTGAAGATCTTGATAGATCCACGATAGTTATGAGGAAATGTCTAATAAAAGTACTTTCAATTTCTAGAGAAAGAAAATAAAATTTATGAATCGATCGAATTTACTCTGGATGAATATCACGCTGCCATAGAATCTAAAACCACAATTCACGATGATAAAATAAAGATATTACAGCATCGGTAGAACAAAAATATATGCATTCGATCATTCTACGATTAAAGAACGGCGTTTTTATAATATCTTTCATTCTAGATGGCGTTTTCCTTCACTCTCGATCCATGGTATTGAAGGGGCATTCTCAGCACCCGGAATGAAAACAGTGTTGCCCGCAAAAGTTATTGGAAAATTCTCAATCAGATTAGTTCCCCATATGGAACCCGATCGCGTTAATGCTTTGGTTGAAAAATTCTTAACAGAGGAATTTGCCAAGTTGGGAAGTAAAAACACTTTAAATGTTGAGTGCGCACACGGAGCAAAGGCGTGGGTTGCCAGTCCTGATCATTGGAATTATGGTGTGTAAATTTTATACTTAATTCTAGTCTTGAAGTATTTTTTTAGGATTAAGGATCACGTTTTTTCTTTAAATAAAGTTGCGGCTGCCAAAGCTGTCGAAAGAGTATTCAATGTACATCCAGATTATACGCGCGAAGGTGGCTCCATTCCTATCACCTTGACTTTCCAAGACGCATTGAACAAGAACGTTCTTTTGTTGCCGATGGGAAGAGGCGATGACGTATGTACTCAAAATTATTGGAGAATTTATTTATACGGATGACTTGCAAAACTCGCACGTGTCAATAACGAAATTTTTTTTTTTTAAAAAAAAAAGGGAGCCCACTCGACTAACGAGAAACTTGATCGTTCGAATTATATTGAAGGTATAAAGTTATTTGGTGCATATCTACATGAGGTCGCGGCTATCAAAGCTGACTAGTATTCTTGATTTGTTGAGCATAAGTCGTAATCTCGAGAAAAAGATTTTATTGATTTGTTCTAGTCACTGATTGACCTGCGTTAGTTCAAATGTATTTAATAGTTTTGTTTGGCTAATTTTTAAAGTCATACGAAAAATAAATTATTAATAATAACGGCTTATTACAACTTGAAAAATTGTGAATCTTTGAAATGAAACATATATTATATTGTTAAAATTTTATTTTATTTGATCATTTTAATAATAAATATAAAAGAAAAGTTATTTAATAATATAATTTTGAAACCGAGTTTTTACATCTATCCTAAATATTTTGTTTATTAAAAACCATTTATTTAAATTAATATGCCGTTCTATCGGATTCTAATGATCATTTTTTTTGAAATAATAATAATTAATTTATACATATTTCTTTAACATTAATCTTTTATTTGAACTTTGTTTTATATATATCTATGTACCACATATACTGTATATACACTGTCTATATATTGTATGTAATAAGTATATAAATATAACAATATATAAAATACTGTATATATACTGTATTAAATAAAAGATATCCTTTAAACATAGAATATATTATTAATTCATGTATACAAAAAATAAATACTGTAAATAACATTATTGTTATATTAGTATAATATTATAATAAGCATTTTAAAAAATAAAATTTCTCTAGTGACGACCGCAGATTGTAACTTATATATAAAGACTGAATCAAGCGAAAGGATAGATGAAATGCGAACCAAATACTGAAAAACAATTTCTCATATTTACATGGTGAATAATAAATAAATTATATTCATAATGATGGTAAAAATACATTATGTTTTAAAGTACAATGATAATATAACAAACCGCAATCATTTTTAATACCACCAAGGTTCGGTTTCATAGAGCTGTTTCTCTTGGAAATCATCATCCGAAAAATTATTGAAATTTCGAGAATCGCTTCCTTCCTCAGCTCTATAATGATCACCATTACCACTATCCACTATTCCAAATTCGATCAGTAAGCTCCTTTCGAATTCTTTCAATTTTCTCTTAAAGCTTTGGGTGCTCAACGATTCAAAAGTCACATTGGTATTCTTCATTTTGAACGCCCATGTGGAGCGGTCCCTTTCTGTAATCAATGGAGGAAATTGATCCACTCTTATGTGACCTTCCTGGGTGAAGACATACTATTTATGATAATTGCGATAGGATGTGTCGATAAGTGATTTTATGAATATACATATGTAACAATCGTCTTGATTCATTATCTTACCGGAAAACGAGCATTCATTATTCCTTCATGTGTGTATATTCCATTACGATGAAATTTCGGTGATTGCTCGTAGGGTATTGGATATGAATTGAACTATTTAAAAGAATAATTCGGGAATTAATAAGTCATTTACGACTGCTGAGAAAATAGGTAATTTACCTTGAACGACCAAACATTCTCTATCAGATCCTCGACATCCCATCTGCACCTCTTCGCCTCAGTTTCCACGAACGCATAAACGCGTTTCCAGATTCCTGGCCTACTGAACCAAAGTTCAAATCCTTTCAAATGACTATTTGTGTCATCATCTTGACTTTCGCTAGAACTTCTTATATTATTATCGTTAGCGTTTTCCTGTGTATTATACCGAGTACTATTATCATTCTGGTTGCAATCAGTGATACCTTTCCAATAACAGATATCTTTCATTCCTTGTTTATTTTCCCATCGTTCCAACGCCAACACTGACCAAACATGGTTATCTGAAGATAAGGCGTTCAGTCCACGAGAAACTTTAGCAAGGGTGCACAAGGATTTTACATCAAGGTTCTTAAAAATTTGAATAAATAGTTCGGAAGGGAGGCGATTCGTGAATTCCATTAGTTCCATCAAAAAAGTTAGTGGCCAGCAGGGGGTTTGATTATTGATCTTCAAAGATATGATTGGTCAGGTCCCTGACCGGCGAAAACCAAATTTAGAAATGTGGAAAAAAAGTGGATTTCGAGAGAAGAGAGGAGAAAAATGATAACTCGCCAAGAAAATTTGATATCATCATTACGCAAATCTCGAAACCAATTAATATTTCAAAAGACGAACGGGAGGCTTTAATTTTTTATTACAATTATATCAAGGTAGATATGATCTGCCGTTATTTTCCTAGTAGCATTCATATTTTGGGTGTTAACCTAAATTAGAACGAAAAATCGATTTTACGCTTTTAGAGCTTTTTATTAACGCACTAAACATCAGCCCCCGAGATTCATCTATGCATCCAATGTCGTGGTGCTTCCAAAATTTGAATTGTAACGGTAAAACAAACCAATTTTATACATCCATTATTATATTCAGATATGGCATGGCAATGTGAAATCGATTAGTGTTTTGAAAGGCACTAACGTGCATCTTCTTTTAAAAATCCTTTTATGTTATGCGCTGATAAACAAAACAAAGCTGTAGCTGTTTTTTCTTGCAGTAAAAAGATCAGAATTTACAATACTTCATATAAATACACAATAGAATGCATAATAATTCGGGATGCATATAATTGAAAAAAAAAAAAAATTGGACGTGTCTGTATGCAAAGTACGTGGTATGCATGATTTGAAGAATTAATAAATAGACCAAGGGATTTAAAATTCTCCTTATTATATGAGAAAAATCATTAACGTTTTAACTTATCACTATGGAAATGACCGACTCACAACCTAAGAACAATTGGTAAAAAACAATTTTTTTTTTAAAAAGAAAAAATTTGTTGTCTTATTCGCATAACTTTATTTCACAGATTCAAAAATTCTCCTTTGGTTCAGGCCATCATGGTATCCAATAACACGTCATAACATTCGAGAAGATATCATTAGAAATAGAAATCGTGAGGTGGTTGAAGAATCTTATAGGATATGGTTTGGTAATTATTACTTTGTGCCTCTATAATAAAGACTTTAGCAAAACCACCCACACGAATTCTCACCTACGGATTGCTCTCGCCAACAGCATATTACATCGTATTAGCATTTAATCTTGGAGCAATCATCGCATCGTCGGTGACTTGCTATAGAAGCTCCACAATTTCCGTGCAAATATTGTTGGCCTCATTATATTTGGTTTTGTGGCCTGTTTGTGACTTTATTTTTCGACACAAGTGTTTGTATCGAGGATTTAGGTGATTATTACTTGACATTATTCTTTTCTGTTCCAGAAAAAGGTATTACTTCTTTCATTGCCTCTTAATAGTCCCTCCTTTCCGTCTTCTCTCATTTGTTATTAGGGGTGAACATGTGAAATCCGAACACGTGAGATCCTTCAGACGCTTTTTCTTCGTTTTCGTAATCAGCATTGTATTCAGCATATTCATAGTGGTCGGTTGGTTCTACACTGGTTGTGGCGGAATATTCTCCATGATAAATAATTTTAATGATAAATGTTACGTAGCCGGAGCGTTTAACATTGTGTGCGTAGTACTAATCCTTGTACATACTTTGATGCACATACTATTACTTCGTAAGGTAATTATTGTTGCCATTATTATTCGTACAATTATTATTCGATTTCTCCTTCCTCATTATTATCCTTTAAATTCAACAGGTGCGAATCTATTTCAATGCTCATCAGATGACGCTATTTGGTGATGTGCTAGAACGGCCGTCGAGACCTAACTCTTCGGTTCATGAGAAAGATGGTGTTAATGGTGTTAATGGTGTTAACGGTGTTAACGGTGTTAACGGTACTCATGGTATTAATGGTGCTAATGGTTTGAATGGTGTGGCATGATGTATAAAAAAATAGAATGCTTGTCGATAGAACCATTTCTAACGCCAATTTGTATTTATTTACATCTTTTATTATTTTTTAATCATTTTTATATTCATTCTTCGACTCCTCATTATAACTGCTTTCGAATAATGTTGTAATAAAAAATATTTAATACATGTAATTACTGAAATGTTATGAAAAATCACGCCCGGAGGCGTAGTGGCTTTTATTCATACGTATCATAAGAATATAAACAATGCGTCCCTCCCTTTAGAGGGAATTACTTTAAACAAGAGCAAGAGATTTTTCGGGCGTTTCCTATGACTACGATACGATTACGCGGAAGCCTGCGGCTATGTGGCACATCTCGACGAACCAATTGACCCAAATGTAACACCGCATTAAGCACAGAGGGCAAGTATTCGACTGTAGACAGAAGACATCGGAAATTTTAACGTTCACGAAATGATGATTGCTGTGCAGTTTTGGAAGAATTGCATGCAATTCCTGAACCCTTGCATAATAAGAAAAGCTTGTATGAGAATTTAAACGTGCGTGATAAAGTTGAAGATGATAATGTCGAAGATAATGGATACCTAAATGAAACCTTTGTGCACGAGGCTTTTGAAGATTCATTTTGATGGCAATGGTTAAAGTTAAAGCGAGGTAGGAAGGATTGGTAGTAAAAAAATTATAATATAAATAATGTTAAAATATTGTTTATTCATATTAACCTAAAAAGTTTTAATAAAACAATCTCAAGTAAAATTATTTTTTTAAGTATTAATTAAGAGCTTTATATAATTACGTACTTTATTTTATTTAATAATAATAAAAGAACTATTATATCAAGAATTTATTGCTATAAATAATAATTACTTTATTTTATTTGATATCAAAAAGATTTTATAATATGTATATACTATCAAAAATCAAAACTTGAAAAATAAAAAATAATAATAGAAAGAAAATATTTTATCAAGAATAATATAAAATAAGTGATTTTGCTTTATTCTCTAAAAAAAAACTAATTTACATAGTATATCAAAATCCAATTAAAAAGAAAAAAAAACTAATCTAGTAATATTCAAAAGCATAATTCAATATTATTAATTGTAACCTGTTAAAACAAGATTATCAATATTTATATATTGTTATTAAACTCTATATTAATTTAATACAAATTTATTAATAAGTATAATATCTAAGAATTAACAAATATAATATTTAACAATTGAAATATAATAATTTAATATAATAATAATTAATCATTTTTTATTTATAATAATTTAATTTAAATACATATTTAATAAAATAATAATAATATTAATTAATTATTATAAAATTTTTTTTCTTATAAAAATACTTTTACTGATTTTTTTTGCTAATTCAAAAATAGATATTTTAATTTATTTCAATTTAGTAAAAAGTATTTTCTGCTAATTATTATTATAAAAAAATATTCAAACAATAATTCTTATTGATTTAAATTTTAATTAAATTTAATTAAACTAGATAAATATAAAATTTTGATATTTTTGATAATTATAAAATTAAAAATTAATTAAAATAAAACAATTTATATAAAAAAAGACTTTTAATTTAACTTTTATAAAAATCTTATAATTCAAATTAACATGCCAAATTTTATAATACAAAGAAGCTTTAATTTTAAATTATTTTAAATTATTACTTATTTTTTAAAAAAAGTTAATAATATAATAATTTAAAACTATAAATAATAACAATTAATATATTATCTTTTTAAAATTTAAAATAAAAAATATTGAAATATCTAATAATTTTATCTATTTAAAAAAATATATATGTATATATTTTATAATAATATAATTAAATAGAATTTAAATTAAATTATATGTTTTAAATTAATAATAAAATTTTTATTTTTAAAATTTTTTTTTAATATATAAATATAATAGTATTAATAATAAAGTAAATAATATAAAATAAGTTATATAAGTGATATAAATAAGTTAATAAAAATATAAAAAATTTGAAATATTATAAATTTGGATTTTTTTAAATATTTGAAATATATAATTTATAATACTATAGGAATCCCAAAAGATATTTGATATTATTTTAATATAAGTTTTCAAATATTAATAATTTTATATTGTTTATTTTTAATTTTTTTAATTATTATTATAGAATTATAAAAATATTAAAATAATTAAAAGAAATTACTAGTTTTATTATTTTATTTTTATTATATATATGGGTAATTATTTTTGAAGGTGACAAAAATGCTAGATATGATTTTTTTAGATCCGACTTTTAAACAATACATATATAATATAAATTTTAGGATCACTTCAGAAAATTTCCGGTCCGCCTTCGAAAATAATTACCCATATATATTGTATAATTTTTAAAAAGTCAATAAGATTATATATATTATTTTAGACTTGTATTTCTATTTTAATTATTTATCTAAAAAAATTATATTAATTAAAAACTATTTGTAAAATATATTTAAAGATATAAATATATATTAATTCTTTCTAATATTTTTCAAAGTATTAATTAAATTATAATTTTATCAATATTATATGATTATATTACAATTATAATAGTATCACTATTATATTATTATATTATTATATAATTATATTAAATTATAGTATTACATTAATATTATATAATTTGAGTATAATTAAATTAATTGTATCACAATTATATAACTATATCACAATTATATACTGTAACTATATCAAAATTATAATTACGGTAAACTATATAAAAAAAATTAATTGATACTATTATTAAATTTTTAATTTTAATTGTATTTGATACAATTCAATAATGCATATAATATATTTATCTTGATTTCTAATAAAGCTTTTTTAAAATAGGCCATTTCAAAAATTTCAAATATAATTTCAAGCAAAGAATTAGAAATTTGACTTTTTGAATTAAATTAATAATTTCTTGAATTCGATTATTAATAAATTTCATGATAAAATTTATATTATAATTCTTAATATGTTTAATTTTATCTGGACCTATTTTTTTGAATAACTTATAAATTTTTACAACTCTTTGAATTTTTTTACATAAGGTATCTTGTGATATATTTGCAACTTATAAGTTCAACTCTTGTGATTGTTTTTATAAATTAAAGTTTTCATTTTTTTTTTCTCACTAATTTTATTTTTATTATCAATTTCACTAACTTGAAATTCAAAATCCCTATCATAAAGAGACCAGCACATAATTTTTTTCTGATTAACCTTCGAAGCTTATGGCTGTATCACACAACTGAGCCAAATGTTGTGATTATCCCATTAATGTCGAATGAATTAACAATATACTTCACAGAACTATACATGTTCTCTCAGAAATTTCGATCTGTCCTGGTTTAATATTTTTTGATATAAAGTGATCTTGTGAACTTGACTCTAAAGAAGTATTGAATAATTCTTGCCAGAGTTTATCTGTTTCCTTTTTCTTATATCTTACCAAAGATAGACCTTGATTTCGAAGCTTCTTCTTCCTATTGCATTGTTTTATCTCACTATTAACTTTTTCCTTACTTTTAAAATCCGGAAACTCATCGATCTCTTTATTGTCTGACAATTTAGACTCAGACAAGTATGTATGAGTATTGGAAGAAATATCAGATGATGCTTTGTGAAGAATAGAATCATCTCAGCAATGAGATTACTGGTGTCTGTTTTATTTTTCTTTTTTAGCTCCTCGAATCTGATCTTGAGCTCAGCATTTACTTCTATAGCTTGTTTCAATTTGGTACTCTCGGCATTCTCCTTTCTAAGCTCAGCAATGAGTTGAGAATTAATTGTTGCAACGAATCGATTTTGGATTGAGTGTCTGACATTGTTTATACAAGATGCGGCTATGTTCAAAAGTATATTAAAATTCACATGACACGCTTTCTCAACTTTCTCGGTAAGAAAATAAAAAATCTCGATTATGTATGGTATCTCATGTGTGAACAGCAGGAGAATGTGAAAATGAGATGAAGACAATGAAATTAAAGTACCCGTCACGTTTCGCTTTCCTGGCATTAATTTTTGATTTTTACCTTAAATTAGTGGTGTAAGTGCTTGGATGATTGTGTTTCAAATTAAAAAGAAATCGATTGTGATAGGGTCAGGAACTAGACCCCGAGGAATCGCAATAGAAGGATGTACTTCATTGTATAAACAACTTAATGCATGCACCTTGCGGAAAAACAAAAGGAGCACCATTCCCGTCAGTTGTGCAGAATTTAAACTGATTATCAATTATAACATTAGAGAATCTAGATATTCGCCAAAAAGAACATCAACATAGTCTAATATTACCGTAGTTCTTACTGGAAACATATACCTAGTTCTTCTATCCAGGATGCAATAATGCCACGCCTGCAATTTATTGCAATTTAGAATATTAACAAGTAATAATATCGCCAAATTGTATAATGAACTTACTATCATACGAGTAGGTATTTGATCCGCAGAAGCTGGTTCAATTTTTAAGGATTCAATGGAAAAAAAAATACAAGGTACCTTTTTATCAATCCCGTTGGGATATCTACTTCTGGTTTTGCCGGACGAAATAAATTGTCGCCCTCTTTTGCAGAACAATCAACATAGATCCCTTTAGCAATATCGAAAGGCATAAAGCAAAGAAAATTAATGAATCGATTCTTACGAGTCGAGCGTTGGTAAAAGCGGCTGCACTAGTTTGATTCAATATCATGGTAGTAATTGCTCCGATACCAATTTCATGTGGTTCTGAAGGCAACTCATAAATTATAACATCGCCGTTGATCCATTCCCAACATCTATGAATGTTAAACTCGTCCGCTTTTCGTACTCCTCAGTCTTTATAGGAATAGCAGAAATTGGCTTATATCTCACTAGATCATAAAATATCGAGTCAACTTCAAAAACAAGTAGGAAGGGGACTTACGTTGTTTCTTCCCAATTTACTTTTTGATGGAAATCGCCTTTTTTCTTTTGAACTGTCGCTAATGAATAGCTTTAGAAGTTAGCTAAGAAATACTAGTTACACGTATTTACTCACACAGTGGATTTAGACCTAGCGCTTGTTTTGAATAATTTTTTCCCACGAGGCAAAGCAAACAATAACAAACGGAATTTATCAGTAAAATGCCTAAACTGTTTTCTTGGATTAATTAATATATGTAAATAAATATTAACCATTTTATTATTTTTATTTATTTATTTATCACAACGTACATTTACAAATATTCTATAAACTCTTAAACTTAATATATTTAATACAAACTAAAGAATAAACGTTTCGTTTCATATTAATTTAAAATTTATCGATATCCGATTACTGGAAAGACAGAAAAAAAAAAAAAAACGAATTAATATTAACAAAATATAATAAATAAATACTTAGGAAAATAAAAAATACTTATCTATATAAAAAAATGTTCGAACGAATGTAGGGTTGGCGGCTCCTTCCCTTTCCTCTCCAAAAAAAAACCCCCCGAAAAAAGACATTGATTAAAAAAATAAAAAACCGAATGAAAATTACTCGATTTTTTCGCAATATATAGACAGAGCCGACCAAAGAAATGCAAGCTCTAGAAGCAGTTGACACCCCCAATAAAAGAAATGCACGCCCTAGAAGCAGTTGACATCTCCTATAGCCATGACGAGCCTGGTGACCGTGCTATACATCACTGACCCTATTAATGCCATCTCAAATGAAACAAAACCGACCCCTCATTCAGAATCAGTGGGCATCACGGGACTCAACGAATAGGGAAATAATAAGTCACCTAAAAAATAAATAAGTTTGTAACATTCGACTTTTTCGCAACGTATAGACAAGGTACCAAGGTTGTATGCCAACTAGCAATTAAAACTGCTAGTCACAACGAACCCGGAAATACAAAGCTACGCGTCACTCGCCCATATTCATGGACTAGAAATGTGATATAGGGATAGGATTTTTTTGTTTTTTTTTACGAAGACCGCACACAAAAGGAAGGGACAAAAAGAAAAGAGATCTTAGGTAAAGCAAGAAGGGATTTCTTAGCCGTAGAGTCAGAGGGGAAAGGTTATTTTTTAAAAACACAAAACCCCATCCATTTTATATTAGAGATAAAAGCTCTGACGCGTTAGCTTGTAGAAAAATATCACCTGCTGTGTATATTACGTATATCTTACACATCTTATACGTCTTTCATATCTTATATAAGCAGAGTTTTAGTTGTTATTTTTGGCGTCACCCGTGCAGGTGTGCTTACGTCAGTCGTGAAACAGTTTGGCGTAAGAATAAGGGGTTGGTGAGAAATAAAATAATGTCAGAGCGTTATTTTAATTTATTATAAATCTTAAATATAAAGCACGAACATAAGAACGTTGCCATATCTGCTAATAACATAATAAAATATTATCTAATAAAATATTTATTTTTCGAAAATCTACTTAAACAATATAAATTACTATAGTACGGAAATTTCACTCAAAATAATTGTAAGCGCATCTGCACAAGTAGCTAGACAATTTGGCCTAGATTCTACTTGCACCCTTATCTAGAGTCTCAAAACAGCTGGTGTTTCCGAATGCACACAAATTTTTGATTTATCGCCATCCATAATAAATTTGACAAAATAACACGCTCGACCATCGATAATGATCCCGTATGCCTTATCGGCAAAATACTCTTGACTTCATCATGCTTGCATTTTCGATTGGTTTCAAGAGACGAATGCAGTTGGATGACATTCTGAAAAATTATTAAGTTAGCAAATATAGGTACAGTATATCCGAATGCAAAAATTACAATTTCATTCTACCTGGGCCATATCTCGGAATTTCAAGCAAAAATAGAGTCATATTTTCCTTCAACATATAGTTGTAGATATAAATTCACTAATCCATCAAAAAACAAAGGGAGACATATTCACTCCAAGTAGTGTTACAAATTGTTGGTTGAAAAGTTTAAAATTAACTAGTCAAAATTTAAGATTTTTAGTTGCAACTAGTTGATTATATTTAAAACAATTAATTGATTAAAAATTTTTTTGCCAATTAAGACTGTTAGCTCTAAATAACTTCGGCTTTACTATAAATCATTATAATGAAACCTCAAATCTTTACAAAAATAAAATATTGTCAATATTACAATCAAAAATAAAAAACTTTTTGATATTTAGCATAAGATCAAAAAGTTATATATTTTTCCGAGTTTTTAATCTGAAAATAATTTTTGTACTGTATTGATCTATATTTTAAGAAAGAATAATATTTATAAGACATAAAATTTATAATATTGTCTAAATATAGTATTATTTTTCAAACCTAATTTTTTATAGTTTTATTAATTTTGTCAAAATATAACATTAAATTCTTAGGCTTTATATTTTGCAGAAATAAAAGAATTTTGATAATTATTAATTTTATAATATTCAATATTATTAAATTAATATTAATTACCATATACCACTGCATACAATACCCCGGGTATTAATCAATTTACCCTCTAATAAATTGATTAATACCTGGGGGG